ACCAGATTAATTTACTAGTTTATTTGTCAGGGACCTATGTGTTGCACCAAGATAATCTGTTGCACCAAAATTAGTGAGTAGTAGTGAGCTAATGTACTTCCATTTGCAGTACTTGGACTGCTACGTGGAATATCATATTCTCTAGTCAGTGCAAAAATGCAATACTCCATAAATATAGGAACTATGAAACTTTGTGGTTCAATATTTTGCTCTCTGTGTTTGTCTATCTGCCTAGTTCTCTCTCCGTCTCTCTGTCTCTCTGTCTCTCTCATCTCTCGTCTCCTCCTCTCTCTCTCTCCTCTCCATCTCTCTCTCCTCTCTCTCTCTCTCTCCCCTCATCTCTCTCTCTCTCTCCTCTTCTCCTCTCTCTCTCTCTCTCTCCCCTCTCTCTCTCCTCTCTCCCTCCTTCCTCTCTCTCTCTCTTCTCTCGGTCTCTTCGCTCCTCCTCTCCTCATCTCTCTCTCTTCTCCTCTCTCTTCTCTCCTCTCGCCTCCTCTCTTCTCGTCTCAACTCTCTCTACTTGCTCCTCTCTCTCTCTCTCAACTCGTCGTCTCGTGGATCTCTTCGCTCTCGTCTCCTCTCTTTCTCTCTCTCTTCTCTCCTCTCTCTCTCTCTCTCTCTCTCTCTCTCGTCTCTCTCTCTCGGCTCTCTCTCTCTCTCTGCTGCTCTTCTCTCTCTCTCGTCTCTCTCACTCTCTCTCCTTCTCTCCTCTCTCATCTCTCTCGGTCTCGTGCTCTCTCTCATCTCTCTTCTCTTTCTCTTTCTTTCTCTTCTGCTGAATCCCTCTCTCTCTGTATTGGCATCAGCACAGGCCTTTGGAGAGGCCTCCTCAGAAAAAGGGGGGAAGGCAAGGAGGAAACTTGGAACAATATATTGTAAGTAAATAAATGCTCCAAACAGACCCAAGGCCCTTGGAGCCCTGTGCACCAAATCCCCTAATGACCCTTCTGAAATGCAGTTTATGAAGCCTTAATAAAGCCTTCATAAACCCTACATAAATGTGTCACAAATTATCTATAACCATATGTCATGCTTTATAAAGGGTTCATAAATGTGGCATAACTATGTGACATTGTCACCAACGTCAAATGTGACATAACCCACTATGTTGAATATATAAATAATATAAATGCCATTTAGCAGACGCTTTTATCTAAAAGCAACTTACAGTCATGCGTGCATACATTTTTAGGTATGGGTGGTCCCGGGGATCGAACCCACTACCCTGGCGTTACAAGCGCCGTGCACTACCAATTGAGCTACAGAGGACCGCTATAATGGGGATCCATTATGACATAAACATGTGCTTTATAAAGGGTGACATTTTGTGCTGAACGGTGACACACGCTCTAAAGTGAAGTCGTGTTAGTTACACACCAGCCCCCAAAACATTTAAAGTCAGACCAGGGGAGAACAACTGCCCCCTCTCACTGGAAGCCACGAAGTTCAAGGCCGACCCGTGGTACTGCAGAAAACAGGATCCCCATTATAGTGAAGGGGAAAATGGCGATCTTCATGGTCAATCTTGGTGTAAAAAAACAACAACTTCTAAGACAATCATGGTACCAATAACTGCATTTAATACACCAGATGTAATTTATGTCCTTGAACTGACTATTTTAAAATCGCACACAGAAGTAGTTTTAAGGACAGTTTAGTGCAGTGGTTCCCCAAACTGTGACCCAATGTGGGGTCGCCTGATATGAAAATGGGGTCGCCGGAGAACCTGTTTTCGCTTTGTCATTATGGGGTATTGTGTGTAGATTGATGAGTGAATTAAAAAATATATCATTTTTAGAATAAGGCTGTAACATAACAAAATGTGGGAAAAGGGAAGGGGTCTGAATACTTTCCGAATGCACTGTACACACAGGCACAAATGACCTGAGAGCACAGCAGGAAAGGGTGGCCACAGCACTCAAGGGAGTGATTGAAAACCTTCTTCTACTTTCCCTAACGCACAAGTGGTTATCTCCACCTTGTTACCACGGAAACACTTCCACCCTGCTGCCATACAGCGGGTAACCCACTTCGTGTATTTCCCGTGACTGTTCCTCAAAACCAAATGTTTACCTGGCCCACCACTCCACCCTGGACTTGAACAGCCTTCACGACCAGATCCACCTATACAAGGCTGCCCACCTTCGCCAGGACCCTAAAGGACAGCCCCCTCAACCGCAGCCCCAACACCTCACACAGGAGCAACAGACATCCCGCCCAGACCAGCGAGACACTCTCCCAGACCTGAGGGACCCCCCCCCCCCCCCCCCCGGACCGACACATAGAGGACCCCCGCAGAGAGGACCTACATCCAGACCACAGCACCAGCCACATCCACCCCCACACCCCAACCAATCAATACCCCACCAAACCAACCATGAGCACACCCCATTTAGGCCCCCTCAGATCAGACCTATGCCCCTCCTACCCACCCCATGCCCCCCACTTCTGCAAAGAGAGCCTCAACATAAAAGTCACACATACGCCCAGGCTGTGAGCAGGCAAACAGGCCCAACCCCCCACTCTTACCTAGCCCAACCCTG